GGGAATGGGAAGTAATGCCTTCACAGGTATTTTTACAATTTTACAGATTATCTATTATTTAGAGATCCGTGCAGACATTTGAACTTTCATTTCACGTCAAGTACTTTGTGCGCTTGGTCTGTACAAATCGTATTTATATGCGAAAGAGAGAAAATATTCATGAAGGAAAAGAATGATGGCTCCAGTGCCACCAGTCTGCTTCCTGGAGGAATTTTAAGACACCGTAAAGTGATACCACTGTAAAATCAGGAAACAAAACCCCAACCTGTCTGCACCTAGCACATAGCTAGGCTCTGTTTTAAAAACAAATTTACCCTAGCTCAGATGCACCTGCATTTTTTTTTTTTACACATCTGGTTAACTGAGAACTGAAACACTTGTAAACTGTAACGGGAATCTGATTCAAAGATTACAACCCGAGAGTCTTCACTCAGCTGATTAATTAAAGTTAATAGGGATACACTTCCCTGGATAAGGATGATTCAGGAAGAGATGGGATTTCAAGACTGTTGGATCCAGTATTATCCTAAAGCAAACACGTTTACCATCAGTTAACAGGAACCAAAACCTCTTATAATCACTTGCCCACCTGTTAGCCCACCAAATCCCTTCTGGGCAATCTACCAGGGTGGCACGAACCACTCAGTTCATCTTCAGTGAACGCCCAATCTCTATATAAGGTCCGGACCTGAGGCCAATAGAGAACCTTCTGGTGAAGAAAACAAAAGCTAAGGGAAAAGCGCTGAACACTTACAACACTGTAGTCTGTGAAATAAACTCTTAAACTGGCATTTTTTTTGGCCAAAATTCATAAATCCACTGATGGGTCAGGAACTATTAGGCCAAATTCAGGTAGGATTCCTAAGTACCTTCTCGACATTCTTCTTCAACAATAACATTTGGCAGAAAAAAGGGCATAAATGGAGAGATTTGTGGACGTGCTCACAGTTGCAAACTGTGTTAAGGAATTTAATCCCCAAATTGTGTAGCACAAACCTTCCCAAGCCTAGAGCACCCCTCTGCTAAGGGGCCTTGGCATCTCGGATACAGTCACGATTGACACGTTAATGCTTCCCTGGTTGTTACCAAAAAAAGAGATATAAATTCTTGTGCTGAAGCTACCCCCTTCCCCCCCCCCCATTTATATTCAACTCTCCCAGTATTTTAAGTATTCTTCCCCTGCCTTCTCATCTTTGAAAGCATGCAGTTTTCAAATAAAGCAGTATTACCTTCATATATAAACAAACATTTCTTTATATACATTGTAGCCATTTTGTTTAGGATTTTTGACAAGAAGTAGAGAAAGAAATACCGTTTACATTAAGAAACGAGTAAACAAATTCTCCTCTCTTTCAGCATCGTGGTGGGTCCTCAATAACAACTAGAAGCTGTTGTGGTCCCCAGTGATGTTGATGTGACATTGTCTTTCATTAGAACAACGTTTGCAAGCAGAGGACAGGTGTGCTGGGTTAAGAATTGATGAGGTGATCCTGTTTGTTGTTGTGGATGTGGTATTTTCCATTCTAAAATACAGAAACCTGCACATTTATGACCTTCCCTTCTCCAGTGAAACGATGCATTCTAAAAAGCTGAAACGAGACAACCACGCTGAACTGTTTATTGCTGTATGTTCAGTATATTCAGCCCAAACTGCCACAGAAAAGTGCATCTTGATTGGTATGACTAAATATTTGTGAAAAGTTTTAGTCTTACGTTAATAAACAGTTGTTACTTAATGCTGCTTTTTTCTCCTTTTACAGAAGAAACGGGTATGAATATGAACACGTGTTTTCATAAATAGGTCAGTAATTCAGAGAATAAATATAGGGACAATTTTTTGTGTCAATACAGAACTTCACTCACACGGAAACCTTTCTGCCCACAACGAGGCAGTGCCGTTGTCCCTTCACAGCCTCTAGCCCCTGCCCTCCCGAGAGGAAACGCAGACTTCACATTTCACAACCAATTTGCTTTCAACCCTATGTCCTAAACACTTGGGAAAATATTTTAATTTTCAGCTCACTGAAAACTCCTTAGAGAAATCGCTGCCAGAGCATAAATAGACAAAAAAACCTGCAAGTAGAAACACTTTCTTCCCCAAGAATTCTTGCTGTTGTCCCCTGCATCTGAGCGGTAGGTGGGTCCTCCAGCCCAGGAAAGAAAGGCAAGTGACTATGGAAACCTCACACCTCCATGGCAGGTTGACAAGCTCTACATGCTAAGTGACCACTCTCCACTAGCAGTCCAAAGTTACAAACCCTACCCTAAAAAGGTCATATTCAATTAAAACAATCTTCACTGTAGGATGCTGAAGACAAGAAACCTTGGACTTCAGCATTGAAAGCGTTCACTTTTGCTGATTTAAAGGTGGAATTTGTCTCTAACATGGGGACCTAAATTTAGGTGTGAAGGTACCACTTTCTGACATCTCCGTTTGTTTAGAGAACCTGAGCTCCAGTGGAGGGGGTTGATTCAGTTGCCTAAAGGTGAATCCAACTATATATCTCTTCATTCTTAAAAAGGCACCCAGAGAGAGACACTACACTCACACACCACAGATCAGTGAAGAGCTTAAAGGTTTCTTGTCTTCAGCAAAGTAAAACCACTCACATTCCTAAAGATCTGGCTGGCTTTTTTCTTAGGACAAGACATCAGTCTGGTGTACAGCATGTTTTCTTCTGTCATCACTGCTCTACCAAGGAAGGAAACACAGTGACACGTGACACTGCTGCAGGGCAAATACTTAAGGGAAAACTGACACACTGAGGCTTAAGATATTTTTCCTTTTCACTGAATAAAGTATATTAAAATTCTTCTTAAAATAACCCGCTTTAGAATTTCATGTCAATTAGGTGGTGGAAGGGGGAGAAGTTTCTAGTAGGTCATATGTCCTTCTAACAGTTATTCCCCTTTGTGTATTTGCCAGTAAAAAACTACTTTGGTGAATCATACACAAGTTTTAGAAATTTCACTTCAAGAATTTCGAGACCTACACACAGAAATTGCCTTCAACACATGCTGGGGAAAAAAATCCATAGGACTCTAAAAATCTCCCAGTGAGTGGAAAAACCAGTAAAAAAATATTTGACTTCTTTGTAACATTACTTGCAAACAACATGGAAATAGAATGCACTTGGAAGCTTAATTTAATTGCCCAACTACTGCTAAACATAAAAGGAACTGCATTCAAACAAGTTCAGTTGTGTAGTTCAGGGAAAGAAATTTAGTGTCTATCAAATGCAACTGGTAAGTTTTCTGCACCATTGCAATTACTATTTGACACATTCTCATTTGCTTCCATTATCATTTGTGACAGAGGTTAAAAAATTGCCTTCAGTCCCCAAATGATATCATCGTAGGTCTCAATATGGGTTTTGAAGGTAACAATATTCATACAAAATAACTATTATTGATGCTTGTCAACTGAAGGATACATTCAGGAAATACCCAAACTACTGCTTTCCACTTCACAATTAAATACTATTCTAATTTACGAAAAAAAAATGTTATAGAATTAACTATGTATTGGTACACCCAGTTAGTCCTATTAGATGTGATTTAAATCTGTCTTTATCCTCAATTTTGCCCATTTCTTACACATTTCTTAGTCAAAAACACTGGACAGTTCTTTACAAAGAACTTCAAGGACTGGGATGCGTAGACAGTTCTCCTGCTCTGATCCATAAGGAGAGAAGATTTCCCATTTCAGTGAAACTGTTAGTTACAAGAGACTTCACACCTTAAAATAAGTTACGTGCCCACAAAGCATTGAGGAATCCCTTGTGTTAAGATGGAGGTTTCAAATGAAGGAAGGAAGCAAGTGAAGGTTTGGTTCTTTGAGTTGTGGGTTGGTGAGGTTTTTTTTTGGGGGGGGAAACAGGGGGGAGGTACAAGCTAGAGAAGTACATACCCTAGACCATCTGAGAATTGACACCGCCGGTTTTCGTTGTTCCATTATCACTGCTAAGGAAAAAAGGTGAGAGAGAGCAAAAAAACCCACTCAAGTATTGGCTCAGCATTTATGGTCAAGCTATATGGCTATATAACACAAACAACTCAAGGACAAAAGTCTGTCACAGCAAAATGTAAAATTTTTTATTTTCACTGTAATTGTATTACCATCTCAGGCATTACAAATTAAAAGTTTGACTTTTAAAGCATTGAGGCAATTGCTGGAAGAAACGGGCATTTCCGTAAGTCTCGTAGGGTCCTACTTCCATCTGTAGGCACTCAAGCAACTTCAAAAATCATAAAGATCTAGATCAAAGGTAGCTCCTTCATTGATGGATTTGTCATCTTCCAAACAACCTGTCATTTCTTGCATACGTCCATAAAAGGGTTGCTCTTTTCCTATAAGACAAACAAACCCTCAAATTACTTCAGTTATAAAAGATCATTTAAAACAAATTTTCGTGGGTCTGCTTTTAACTCTTTTCTATTCCACGTGCATTTAACAATTTGGTATTTTTTTTAATTAACGCAAACAGTTCTACATTCATTAATCAGAGAGACTTAATATGAAGTCTTCCCAGCAGAGTCTCACCACAGTACCATCAGTTCAGTTCAAAGGCTGAGCTATGTACAGGTGGGCCTGATCCCCACATCTCAAAAACCCGGACATCTTTTGGGACAAAGGCGACCCCCAGCCCTCTGACCGTAACGGTATCTCCCTCGTACACCTCACTCCAGGAAGCTTTCTCCATGTGAAAATCATAGAATCATAGAGGGGTTTGGGTTGGAAGGGACCTTAAAGATCATCGAGTTCCAACCCCCCTGCCCTGGGCAGGGACACCTCCCACCAGACCAGGTTGCTCCAAGCCCCATCCAGCCTGGCCTTGAACCCCTCCAGGGATGGGGCAGCCACAGCTTCTCTGGGCAACCTGTTCCAGTGCCTCACCACCCTCATAGTGAAGAATTTCTTGGTGATATCTCATCTAAATCTACCCTTTTCCAGTTTGAAGCCATTACCCCTCATCCTATCACTACAAGCCCTTGTAAAAAGTCCCTCTCCAACTTTCTTGTAGGCCCCCTTCAGGTGCTGGAAGGTGCTTATAAGGTCCCCCCAAAGCCTTCTCTTCTCCAGGCTGAACAACCCTCTCAGCCTGTCTTCAGAGAGGTCTGTCTCAGTGGAGGCCCCATCAACAGGTGCAGAGCAGGCAAGTCCCTGCAGCAGGACAATACGGTTTTCACTCGGAGATGGGCATATACTTCAGCAGTGACTTCAAAAATTGAGAATTAGGGAAGTCTTAGGATGGGCAAGACCCGCCCGAATGCTCAATCGAGTGGCAAACTGTTGACAACCACCTCCTCCTGAATACAAGCTCACTGACATATGGTAGGACTGTCTGTTCCTCATTAGGAATTTATTTGGAGGCCTCCTCCCACCCCTTATAAGCACCGTTCCTTTAATTTACTCATGCATCCCATCGATCCCTCTGGTTTCTATGAAGAAAAATGGAATGAAATTTTCCCCTGTAACTCCCAAATGTGCTGCACGAAGGACACTAAAGTGCAGAGGAAAGAGGGCGGATAATGGAACAGCTGAACATCACTTACCGTTCAGTGTTTAAGCAAATTACATGGTTTTGCACCCTCCACTGAAAACAAGTCCTGGACAAACCAGGATACAAACATTCTACTCTAATTTCCGTTACTGTCCTACCAAAAGAGAACTGTCCTTAGGGGAGCTGTTACCAGATGCCACAAGCAAGAGCGCACAGAAATCCACCTCAGCACTTACTGTTGAGATCTCAGGAACAGCAACATCCAGATCATTTCTCACTATCACATCAGCTCTGCTACAGGTTGTCCTTAAAATTAGACCGTATCTCTCCCACCCTTCTAGAAACCATAAAGGCTCCGAGGAAGATTTTTTGATTTATTTTTCAGGCTGTGCAATCTCACTACAAAGTGGTTGTTAAGTCTCTGCCTGTGGAGATACTCAAACCTTGACTGGACACAATCCTGGGCAACCTGCTCTGACTCTGCTTCAGCAGGGGGGTTGGACTAAGTGACCTCAAGAGGTCCCTTCCGAACTAAATGATTCTGGGAAAATTCATTAAAAGCGACCAAAAGCATGCTTAGGAAAGAAAAAAAAAAAAAAAAAAACAACAAACAAACAAAAAGCAAACCAACTTTAAATTTGGAAACATGCCTGATCTTCTTCCTGAAAACAGAGGAAAACCATTTTCCTTTGGATGGTACTTGCCATGGTTAAGATGCCAAATACCAACCGGGGAAGTTATGTACAAAAGTCACAGAGCCAAAGTGCACAATCTGTCTTCTGAAGGTTTGATCCATTAGGCAGGCTGGTCTGAAGAAAAATGTTTCCTATCACATGGGTTGTCAAAACCTCCACGACTGTTTTGATCACTTCACTGAATATGAAAAATGCTTTTACTTACTGGTTTTTCAAGCACAACTGGGTGATCAGGAAGAAACTCTGGCTTCTTCAGAGAGAGAGAAACACTTGAAAGTTTCAGAAGGAAATCTCTGCTGTATTTGATCCTTTCTGTGAATATATAAAATTATTAAGTTCAACATTGTTGGTTTCTTAGAGAAGGGTGGAAATGCTTTATGTGGAATATAAAAAAAATCAATATTAAAACCAGCAGTAATTTAAGTCTGACCTTGCATGAGGACAACTTGCAGTAAATTACAGAGCATTTCACTTTAAATCTATCAAATTGACTTAATAAATATGGAGGGCTATTCCAAGCTAATAAGGGTTGGTTGTTTTAATACAAAAGAACACAAAAAGGTGAATCCAACAGTATGGTACTGCAGACAGTACTATACTTTATCTTGCTCTAATTAACAGAAACATCTCAAACTGGTCTTGAAGCCCTGGAAGAAAATCTATTTATAACTCACACCAAAGTGGCACACGTTTCAACGGCACAGATAACAAAATAGCTCCAAGAGAAGAGACACTCAGTTAAGTTGATGTTTTTCAACTGCTAAAAGCAATTATGAGATCTGCTGCATGAAACTGGCAAACAGATTAATACCAATTAAATAGTTTTGAGGGTTGTTTTACACTGAATCAACAAGAGTCAGGGGCTTTGCTTAGAATGTGCATGTTATTAGTTGAGTTTGTACCACTATCTCTACTCTAGCATAGCCTCAGATACGTCTACCCATGTCTGTATTTTAAGCTGATATTCTCAAACAAGAGCAGAAACAAGAGGAAAGGAATAAGGAAAAGAAGGAACAAACTTTATCTCTGGTCCTTGGTGACAAAGAATTTTGTTCCTTTAGGAATAATGAGCGTCTTACAAGACTGTTATGCAGACACGTGACTGACTACAGTTTTTGCTTTTCAGGCTGTTGACAAGGCCACAGAGTCAATGATGAAAGGGATTTTTTCCTGCCTTTGACCACAAGTGACTGGAATAACTGCTGAACTTATGTGAAGGCATGAGGATAACTTTAAAAAGAATTGTTTAAAGAACATGAGCATACTTGAAAACTTACAGCTTGCTCTTTTTCCCCTCTTGTTTAAAAACATATGAAGAAAAAAACTTCTGTAAGCCCTTTGACACAGTTCCCCACAACATCCCTCTTTCTAAATTGGCATCAAAAGAAGAGTGGTCAGCAGGTTGAGGGAGGTGATTCTGCCCCTCCACTCCACTCTGGTGAGACCCCACTTGGAGTACTGTGTCCAGCTCTGGAGTTAGCACAGGAAAGACATGGACCTGTTGGAGTGAGTCCAGAGGAGGGCCACAAAAATGATCAGAGGGCTGGAGCACCACTCCTATGAGGATGGGCTGAGAGAGTTGGGGTTATTCAGCCTGGAGAAACAAAGGCTCTGGGGAGACCTTATAGCAGCCTTCCAGTACTTAAAGGGGGCTTGTAAGAAAGATGGGGACAAACTTTTTTTACAGGGCCTGTTGTGATAGGACAACAGGTAATGGTTTTAAAGAGGGTAGATTCAGACTAGATATAAGCAAGAAATTTTTTACGATGAGTGGTGAAACACTGGAACAGGTTGCCCAGAGACATGGTAGATGCCCCTTCCCTGGAAACATTCAAGATCAGGTTGGACGGGGCTTTGAGCAACCTGGGCCAGTTGAAGACTTCCCTGTTCATTGCAGGCTTTGAGCAACCTGGTCCAGTTGAAGACCTCCCTGTTCATTGCAGGCAGGTTGGACTAGATGACCTTTATAGGTCCCTTCCAGTAAAAACTAGCCTATGATTTTAAAAGAAAGAAAGGAAGTGGCTGAGATAGCAGTAAAAAGCACTTAAGAACTTTAGAGACAGGTAATTGAGGGCGTATTACCACTGAACAGGCATCAAATGGAAATTATTATCTACAACTTCATTTACAGGTGGAGATAAAAATGGAGTTCCAGTGGAAATTTCACAGTGTGATGCAGGAGACAAAGAAGGTAAAAAAAAAAGTCTTATTTATACGCAGTAGCTGAACAACATGACCTCTACAGTTGTGTTACTCTGAGGGAAAGGATTAATCATCAAACAAACAAAAGCCCTTTGAAAATGAGTGCTGGAAAAAGTCTGACATTATGGACAAAGTGGAGTAGAGCCAGGAAGGCATCACAGAGCAATTAACCACTAAAAAAGGTCGAAAGTGATGGCATATACAAGAGACCAGGATCTGATAAGAAGGCACTGAAAATCTTGTAGAAAACAATAACCTCTACACGTCACAAGCAAAATCAACGAGAATGGATCAGAGATCAGAAAGCCACCACCAAACAGAGAGAACTTGACAAGCCTGACAACAAACTAGAACAGAACGTTATTCTATTTATCAAGATCAAGAATCAAAGAAATGAACCTGAGCCTAAAAGGCTATACGTGGAAGACTTACTTTCAGGTCAGTAACACACAACAGCATAGAATTACTGCTCAAGAACCTGGGTGATGGTTAACCTCAGACTGAGGAAAAACAGGAAAGGCTCAATGAAACTTGAAAGAATTCTTTCAGTTCTTGAGTACTGAGAGCAACAGAACAAAGCAAGTCTCCAGAGATTACTTAAGGATTGGAGATTACCGATGAAGATTTAAGATGTCCGATTAAAGGAAGTCATTAACAGAAAAAATTGTCTCAGTGAACTGATGACTTAATCTTCATCAGTACCACAGTTCCTGTGACGTGTTTAAGAATGAAGAAGCCGGCAGGAAGCAGTGCAGAGGAGGACTGTGAGAATATGTTTGGGATCTGAGATTATGCTTTAATGAAAGAGCAGAAGTTCGGGTTGTTTAAACTTCCAAACCACGACAAAAATCCTATTATGCGTTATGAGTACGGAGTGACAGACGTACGGAAAGAAAAGCAAAAGGGATAATCCTTAAGGACAGTGCTGACACAAGAACAAACTGTACAGGACTAATCATAAAAAGAAATTAAGTGATTTCTAAACATCAGAAAATTAGTATTTCAGAACAATTGTAGTAAGAGTAGGAAAAGAAAGCCAAACTACTGAATTGTTAAAATGGTTGCACACCATCATCTTAAAGATAGTATGCTACAACTGCAACAGGCTAAAGGATGCAACACAAACCTGTACTTCTACACACAGAAGCAATTTATAGAAAACCAGGATTTTGTGTGAAGAATTTTTTTTTATGCTCAGGGCTTGTTTTTACTTCGTTTTGTTGGTGTTCTTTTTGGTTGGCTGAGGTTTTTTTAAAACAAAAACAAAGCACAAGACAGGTACCCCCTTATATGCAAGCCAGTCAGTTATGGGCCAGGCTGCATACTTTCTCTACAGTGTTATGTGAAAAAACAGGAAGGTTTTGTACATCAGAAAATACAATTCTGGCACAGATCTCCATGCAATATTTTACCTTTTTTTGCTTCTGATTCATGTTGCTTTGGTTGACAGGGCATCACAGTTTGAGTTAAAATCTTCAATTCAGTCATTTCAGATAGCTAAAACAGGGAGAAAAGAGTTAAACATTTTCTGATATAGTTCACAAAATTAAGTTATGAAGCTTGTTTCCTTTAACCACATTAAAACAAGGATGTATGCTTCTGGATTTCTTAGTTAAAAATAACAGTTGTAGCACAGTTTCAGTAATGAATTTTGCTTTCACCAGTCACCAAGATTTTGAACAATTAGTATTTTCTGTGCATGAAGAAAAATGGATTCTATTCAATTTTTCTACTCCTTGCAACTGAATCACCATCTTTTTTAAATTTAAGAACAGTCTGAAAAGAAACACTCTTGTACAAATTAGCTACAGTTCTGACTACAGTTTATTTATAACAGTTAATGCATCTCTAACTTGAAAGATGAAGGTCTTACAAAGTAACTGCAGAAAACTGTAAATAGGAATACTGGTAATGTAAAATGCCTGAGAAGTTTAATTTGAACCTGTAGAATGTTTGTTACTCTTTATTACATACTATAAAGGAATAGTTCAATGATCTACAAAACAGTATAGGTAAGCACATTTGAGACAGCAATTTTTTTTAGACAGAATTTCACAGTGCTATTTCTAGTTTTGAAAACGAGCATAATTATCTCCTCCCTTTCTCTCATCTCACCCAGAACACAGCCAGAAGATGCCACACTGGGGAACAATAAAAGGAGGAAGGACTTTCCCTAAGACCAAAGGAGAGACTTGGATTCTCTCACTTAGCAAAAGGTTCCATTTCCATTTTCTGGGGCTGAAACATAGTTACCTTTTTCTGATTTGCCTAAAACTTATGGGAGAAAAATATCTGAAGAATCTAGGGATTTCAGAGAATGAAGTTAACAGAGAGCCATGCTTCTAATTCTAACTGCTATGTGATGTTCAACTAGTCTTCACAAGTCTTAGCTATTCAAAGGCTTTCTCCAAGTACAAAAAAAAAGATTAAACATTCTAATTCACAAGAAAAAGACAAGCATAACAAAGCAGAGTTTAAAGCCATGTGCCAGACAATGTCACCACAATATTTTTACATTTCTCCTGCACCATCTCCCATCACATCATCTTGCCAACTGCTCTATAATATCAAAAGTTCTATTATGCCTGAGTTTTGGTCCAAAACTTAACTTTGAGTATCACCACTCACAACAATATTCTTATATGTGTTCCTATCTGAAATCCATCTACAAAGAACGGAATCCATCTATAAAGAACATCCCTAGATAAGGGCATGTATTTCTGAAGCTCAATATCATTTTTAAATGGTAGTTAAGAAGTAGTAAATTAAAACTGATACTACTGGAGACTTTACAAGCCTCTCTCTCTACCTTAAATAGAACTGAGGTAGTAGACTCAACACCCTCTGGATCTTCTGAAAAGTCTTTGCATACCATGAAGAAATGAAAATAATTCTTTGCTTTAAATAAGCCAGTTAAGGCACAGTGACTATTCAGGCACTTTCACTCTGAACACCAGTTTGGCAGTAATTGCCTGGAATCAAGGCTAACATCTTAAATACAAGCACTATCATTGTGCTCACTACTGACATTTGCTCTTCTTCATTTACTCTAAGACTTAAGACTAGAAGTTTCAGACTTTAACTACTCAGACAGTAGTTTTAATACTATAATTCACTGTTCTCTAGAGTAATCCGAGATGAACCTAACACTGACTAGCACTCCTGGTGTGCCATAATGATGATTCTTTTTTTCTGGTAGAAATCTAAGCAGCTTTAAGTGTGTATACTAAATATCCTAGAGTTAAGCAGTTTGGAGAATTCAGTTGCCAGATTTTTCTTCAGTTCTTTCACTGCTTTAAGAACATGGCTGGTCAGAGTTGGGGGGCGGGGGGATTGTTTCTAAAGCCTATTTTATTTTTTTAATCTATTTATAAGATTATGGCACATACAGTCTGCTTTACTTTTAAAAACTGTTCACCAAGCTTTCCAAAAAGTAACCTGCATTTCCTGTATCCTAACCTATAGCAACTTGAGTATTCCCTCTTTAAAAGATTGCCACTACATAAGACCATGACTGGTATAAAATAATTGTAAACAATTGGTTTTCCTTTAGCAATACTAAGTGTTATGTCACCAGTTGTTCTTTTTTTTCCACTTTACAGTGTGTTTCATCCAGTGATCATTTGTCTTCTATAAGAGGAAATACACTGGAGGAGGAAGAAAGTGAGTAAGTATAATTAAAGTTTTATGACTGTACATACAGAGCACTATTTCTGTCTTGACAAAAAAGCAGCAAGATTTAAAGCACCTGAAATACAATTGCAGTTTTGAAGAACATATCTTATTCTAGGAATGGGGAGAACAAATGGATAACAATGCACAGCTTTCTCAGATCATTGCTGATGCTTTTTTAAACACAGAGAATGTTTGCCAAGACTCATTAAAGAGTGTTAATATACAGCTTTGTATCCTCAGATTCAGGTCTCAGGGTTTTTAGAACCAGCTGCTGCATGTTCATGCTTAGAAAAATATTCTGTGAAGCTGCTATGCTGGCCTCCAGGCCAATGCTGCCCACCAATTAAAGTCAACAAATTCACAGGGTATTTATCAGCTGGTATTTGGAAGCACCCGCGGAACAGCTGACAGTCAAAAGTATTAAAAAGCTTTCTCAATGCCCTGTGCCAAAGTCAAAGTTAAAAAAAACATAAATACAGCTATACTAACATCAAAAAAATTCAGCATCTAGCTGCATGTAGCCAAACACTGATGAAACTGACTACTACAACATTGCTGACCACAGGCCTGTTCTAAAAGCCAACAGTTTGTTGTTCTAAATACACATTGCTCAAGAGACAAGTGTTAACTGTCAATTTCCCTATCTGTAATCAAGGACAGGTGGCCAACATCTTGATTTTTAAAAAAGTCAAAGGTAGCTTCCAGAAGCTTCATACAATAAATTATGGACTACAGGATTATTAGACCTCTTCTAAAATAAAAAATGAAGGGACATTTGGCTTAACAAAAAAAAAAAAAAAAATTAAAAACTTCCAATACACTCTGAAGAACATTCAGGGGTTGACCTGCTGGAAAGCATCTCTGCAGAGACAGACCTGGGAGTCCTGGTGGACAAGTTGACCATGAGCCAGCAATGTGAACTTGTGGCCAAGAAGGCAAATTGTCTCCTGGGGTGCATCAAAAAGAATGTGGCCAGTAGGTCAAGGGAGGTCATCCTCCTCTTCTATTCTGCCCTGGTGAGGCTGTATCTGGACTACTGTGTCCAGTTCTGGGCCCCCCAGCTCAAGAAGGACAGGGAACTACTGGAGAGAGTCCAGCAGAGGGCTACAAAGGTGATCAAGGGAATGGAGTACTTCTCTTATGAGGAAAGGCTGAGAAACCTGGGTCTGTTTCGCCTGGAGAAGAGAAGACTGAGAGGGGATCTTATCAATGTTTATAAATATCTAAAAGGCAGGTGTCAAGAGGATGGGGCCAGACTCTTCTCAGTGGAGCCCAGCAACAAGACAAGAGGTAATGGGCACAAGCTGGACCACAGGAAATTCCATCTCAACACGAGGAAAAACTTCTCTGCTTTAAGGGTGACAGAGCATTGGAATGGGCTGCCTAGAGAGGTTGTGGAGTCTCCTTCTCTGGAGGTTTTCAAAACAGCCTGGAAGGGTTCCTGTCCAGCCTGCTCTAAGTGAACCTGCTTTGGCAGGGAGGTTGGACTGGATGATCTCCAAAGGTCCCTTCCAACCCCTACCATTCTGTGATTCAAATCATTATCAAAAGAAAACCAAATTCAGACTATGAAACATCAAGAATTCCAGTTGGAACACTAGAAACTGCGATTTGCAGCAAACAGCTACAACCAATTTCAAGTTTGAAAGACACATTGTACCAAGTCTAAAAGCAAGTACTTCTGGCAATAAAGCACTACAGTGCTTCTGGTTTTTTGAATACTAAGGCCCATTTATGGCCTGGTCCAGCAGAGTCAATGAAACAGAACAACAGAACGCACTGGAACTGTGTCATTATCTACTTCTGTGAAGTTTGCTGCCTCAAATCAATTTGTGGATGTGATAACAAAGAAAAAAATTTCTAGTTTCTACTAAAATTTCTGAATTTCTACTCTTTACACATAATAAGCAAAGACTGAACATGAGTACTTTAAGTTTAAAATCGCCATCTTCAATTCAATGAAGAAAAGAGAAACACCACACAAACCTTCATAAGACTCTTAAGTCACTCATAAGGTTTATTTTTCAGCTACAAGTGTATGCAAATACCAGGGAAAGGCGTTTCTGAAACTCGTACTTCTAACATTGCTGGTTTATAATATACAGATTCAAGGACACTCCTAGCTGGAAATCCAGTTTACTTTTCACTTGGTAAAATAAGGGATCAGCTGACCTCCAATTTATAGCATTCTAGAACACACTCCATCAACTTTGTCATCTACTAATTACTCAATACTCACCCAGTCAACCTTACTCTGCAAACGTGCTTCAGAGTTGCTAGGTAATTCAGTCTCTAAGTTTAACGGAATGCCTGATGCCGGTGAAGATAAGAGAAAAAATTAAGAAAAAATATTTTAAATAAACAGACTCCACATTTTTATGATACTTGACAAGAACATTACTGAAATTACTGAGATTATACAGGCATTTATTCACAGCTTAAAAGTTCTAAACCACCACAATACCGTTTTTCCGTATCTTCCAGTAATTTTAAACAAAGTAAGAAGTTATCCTGTCACTTAGCTGCTGCCCACATTATCACTGCTGTCAGCTTCTCTGGCCACCAAACACTTCTACCTTAACAATAATAATAGCTGTAATACCACAGTATCTAGAAGGCATACAGAAATTTTAAAAAAAACAAACCCAACAACAACAAAAAAACCCACACCTGACATAAATATTGCGTGTTTTTTTTTTTTCTTGGGCTTTTTTGTTTGTTTTAAACTCATATGAATGCTAGACAAGAACTGTACGGTTCAGTATATTGTATTTGCAGTAAAATCTAAACAATAATCTATTTGTTAAATTATGTGTTCAATAACAGGAGTCAACTGACCTAAGAAATCCAAATTTTATAGAGAAGCCTGATTCAGCTTTCTGAAGCGAGAATTTCAGATGTCAAGTTAGAAGAATAACACCAAAAAGTGTTCTGCATAAATCTAATGTATTTAAAATTCATATTTTATCACAGAGACGATGTAGCAAGATCAACACACAGCAAGATATTTATACCTCACTGTAGTTTGTACAAAGACATTAAAAAAAAATAAAAATCCAAGTCACTCTACACATCCTTGTTATTTCCTGAAAAGCAAATTCAAGCTTTGGCAAAGTGAACTGTACCTTAGCCACACTACTCACCTTGTTTAGAAGGCAGATGACGCACTGGTTGTGCTGGCTGAAGGGATTTACCAATAAACTTTTTAGTTTCCTTTAACATTTCGAAGCATCACACTTTAAAAAAGCAGCAGAAATGAGTACAGAGCGTTGTTTCACTGTTAAGTGAGACGAGCAGTCTATGTACCACTCGTCAGTTGCATCTGACAAGACCATATACTATTTTTTAGTATCTGGGTAGGGAAAAGGCCTAACACAGAAGTTTTCTCAGATGACAGAATATGCTGGATACAATTTGCATAAAGACAGAATCAGAAATCTCCCGGATTTGTCCTTCCAATTGAGCTACTTCTCAAAAAGATTTTTTTCCTATATGTATGTATGTAACTTGAAGAAAGGGGATGGGGACATTTGACGGAAATGAAGGTGTTTTCTAAAAGTTAATTTAAATCAATGGGATTTTAATTAGAATCACAGAATCGTTTTGGTTGGAAGAGACCTTTAAGATCATCAAGTCCAACTGTTAACCCAGCACTGCCAAGTCCACCACTAAACCATGACCCTGAGCACTACACCTGCATGTCTTTTAAATACTTCCAGGGATGGTGACTCCACCACTTCCCTGGGCAGCCTCTTCCAATCCTGGACAACCCTTTCAGTGAATAATTTTTTCCAAATATCCACTCTAAACCTCCCTTGGTGCAGCGTGAGGTCGTTTCCTCTTGTCCTATTGCTTGCTACTGCCCAAAACTGAACACAGTACTCAAGGTACACACCAGTGCCAAGCACAAGGGGACAATCACTTCCCCAGTCCTGCTGGTCATACTATTTCCGACACAGGCCAGGATGCTTTAGGCCACCTTGGCCACCTGGGCACACTGCTGGTTCAGATTCAGCCAGCGGTCGACCAACACCCCCAGGTCCTTTTCTGCCAGGCAGCTCCAACCACTCTGCCCCAAGCTTATAGCACTGCATGGGGTTGTTTTGACCCAAGTGCAGGACCCAGCACTTGGCCTTGTTGAATCTCATTCCATTGGCCTTGGTCCGCCAATCCAGCCTGTCCAGATCCCTTTGTAGAGCCTACCCAGATCCCTTTGTAGAGCCTACCCTCAAGCATATCAATACTTCCACCCAACTTGGTGTCATCTGTAAACTTACTGAAGGTGTACTCGACCCCCTCAACCAGATCATTGATAGACATTTGAGAAGACTGGCCCCAATACTGAGCCCTGGGGAACACCACATGTGACCAGCCATCCATTGGCCTTGGTCCGCCAATCCAGCCTGTCCAGATCCCTTTGTAGAGCCTACCCAGATCCCTTTGTAGAGCCTACCCTCAAGCATATCAATACTTCCACCCAACTTGGTGTCATCTGTAAACTTACTGAAGGTGTACTCGACCCCCTCAACCAGATCATTGATAGACATTTGAGAAGACTGGCCCCAATACTGAGCCCTGGGGAACACCACATGTGACCAGCCACCAACTGAATTTAACTCCCTTCACCACAACTCTCTGGACTCAGCCACCCAGCCAGTTTTTCACCTAGAGAAGCGTATGGCCACCCAAGCCATGAGCAGCCAGTTTCTCCAGGAGAACGCTGTGGGAAACTGTGTCAAAGGATTCACTAGTCCAGTTAGACAACATCCACAGCCTTTTCCTCATCCACTAAGTGGGTCACCTTGTCATAGAAGAAGATCAGTTAGTCAAGTAGGACCTGCTTTTCATAAACTCATGCTGATTGGGCCTGACTGCCTGGTTGTCCTTCATGTGCCTCATAACAGCACTCAAGATGATCCATTCTGTACCCTTCCCCAGCACCAATGTCAGACTGACAGACCTGTCCTTCCCTGGATACTCCTTCTGGTGCTTCTTGTAGATGGGCATCAAGAGTTATAACTACAGAGATTATTCAGTTCCAGCATGGAACAGGGAAAGAGAAGTTAGGCTATTTAAAATATGATCCAGTATCACTTCCCACTTTAATTGGTCTTTGCATTATAGAATAATCTATTCACTACACAATAACACAACTTTTAATATATTCAAGTAACAGTTTTCCACTCTGAATCCGTTCAGGTGTAGAAACCAATTGTTAAATGATAACTGTCTAAATTAGAACAGCTGAGCTAAAGCTAGGGAAGAAGTTTTGGTTTGGTTGCCCGGTTTTCCAACATTCTCAACTTAAAAAAAGATTGATTTGAAAGCTGTAGTTAAAAGCAACAATGAAAATTCCTGCAGATGAATGAACTGTGACTACTGACATAAATAATATATTTCACTTTATCCAGATTAGGAATGCTTGTTTAAATCATATTTTTACTACATACTAAATTTCCATGTAAAGCAATGCAGTAAAGATATTTGCATCAGAAGATTTTTTTAAAAAGCAAGTTTTCTTCCATACTCTGATTGCAATTGATATGCACACACTTCTTAAAAAACGGAAAAACTGCTTAAGAGGCTGGCTACCTTCTAGAATGTAGCACAACTGTATTTTTTAAAGCTTTCTCCTGTCGATGAAAAGTAAGATGACTTGTGGGGACAGCAAGAAGACACATTCTTCCCCCTGCGTCAATTTCCATGAGGATGTCTTAAGAAACCACACACTCCGAAGGAAACAAATGAGAATATGAGAGGAAGAGGGGAATTGGGCAGGGGTGAAATGAAGTACAGTGTTCTTACAGCTCTATTTCCTCCTTTAAATTGAAGGAAGAAGCTAAAGAAGATCTCAAGAAGTTACCCACCCCAACCTTGTGGATTAAAACAGTGTTCTATCAGACCAATATCAAGAAAAGGGGAGAACGAATAGTTTTCATAGCTGAGGAACAAACTGCTTCCAGGGCACCTCCCGCACCCCAAGGCCTATAAAACCATATTGCCTCTCAGCAGTTACTCCAGGTTGTCACCTGCCTACCAGAAAGCAAACCCTCTGCAGCATAAGCATTTCTGTATAAAATTGTTTTGTTTTGTTTTGAGCATCTTAACAAGTTGGGACATTCCCAGTAGCCAGCTCACGAGGGCCCATCAACAACGTTCTTTGGGAGAGACTCCTTCCTGGACGCCTAGAGAGATTTAACACATTTTCTGTGAAAAACTCCCTGAGCCCAGTAGGCCCCACGAGTAAGCAGAAACTGACCATCTCCCCTTCCCCCGAGGAAGCACGGCCATTTCACTCAGAGCACCTCCAAACGCCTACCGCCACCCGCAAGAAAACCAACCTCACAGCAACTCCGCGGCGGCCTCTCCACCTCGCCCCTCGCCACCCCTCCCGCCCCGCTTTCTGGCCGAGGAGAGGGCCGCCACAGCCCACCTCTAACCGCCTCCCGGGGCCGCTTCCCCAGCCGCCGGCAGCGCCTCCGCCCCACCCCGCACCCCGAACGGGCTCCGGCGGCCCCGCTCTCCCTCAGCGCCGGGCAGGGCAGGGCGGGGCGGGGCCGGCCTTCGCGCGGCGGCGCTGGCCTCAGCCGCGTGCGGCGGGGGGACGGCCGTTTAACGGTCGCGCCGCCAAGGGGCAGGGGGGTGTGGCGTCCCTCAGCGGGGCTGCTTCTCCTCCCCGCTGCCTTGTAGCGGA